TGACAAGGGATCATCTTCTTTATGCTTGCATAGTATTCCATGTGTATATGTTGCCAACCTTTTATCTCATCCAGTTACTCAATGGTGATACATTTGGGTTGGTTCCAATCTTGGCTATTGGTGAATAGTGCTCGCAATAACATGACATGTGCACATGGTCCTTTATAAGCAGGATTTTATAATCTTTTGGACTTATGCCCTCAGTAATGGATAGCTGGTAAATGGTATTTCTAGTTGAGATCCTTGAGGAATCGCCACACTGTTTTCCCCAAATAGTTGAGAACTGTTTACAAGTCCCACCACAGTGTAAAAGTGTTCTTTTCTCCACCTCCTCTCCAGCAACCTGTTGTTTCCTGATTTTTTTAATGATTTGCCGATTCTACACTGGTGTTGAGATGTATCTCACTGTTGATTTGATTTGCATTTCTCTATGCGGCGAAGTGATGAGCATTTTTTATGTGGTCGCCGTTGGCTTTATGAAATGTCTTCTTTTGGAAGTGTCCTGTTTCATATCTTTGCCACGTTTTGATGGGGTTGTTTTCCCTTTAATTTGATTGAGTTCTTTATAGGTCTGGATATTAAGCCCTTTGTCAGATGATAGATTGCAAAATTTGCTTCTTTTTAGGTTGCCTGTTCTTGAGTTATTTCTTTTGCTGTGCAGAAGCTGTATTAGTTTAATAATTTCCATTTGTCAATTTAGCTTTGGTGCCATTGCTTTTTGGTGTTTTGACAATTGAAGCCCTGCCCAGTGTGCCTATGTGCGAAATGGTATTACCTAGTTTTCTTTTAGGGTTTTTATGTTTTAGTCTAACATTTTAAGTTCTAATCCATCTGAATAATTTTATATAAAGGAGTAAGGGGAAAGGATCCAGTTTTCAGCTTTTACTTATGGCAGCATTTCCCGCATGTTACCATTTATTAAATAGATCCTTCCCTATTCTTGTTTTAGTCAGATTTGTCAAGATCCAGATGATGTAGATGTGTGGTATTATTTCTGAGGATCTGTCTGTTTCATTGGTCTATATCTCTGTTTGGTACCAGTACCATGCGTTTGGTTACTGTTAGCTTGTAGTGTAGTTTGAAGTCAGGTAGTGTGATGCCTCCAGCTTTATTCTTTGGCTTAGGATTATCTTGGCAATGTGGGTCTTTTGGTGCATCATGAACTTTAAAGCATTTTTTTCCAATTCTGTGAAGAAAGTATTGGTGCTTAATGGGGATGGCATTGGATCTATAAATTACCTTGGGGGCAGTATGGCCATTTTTCACATATTGATTTCTCCATCCATGAGCATGGTATTTCCTCATTTGTTTGTGTCTCTTTTATTCACTGGGAGCAGTGGTTTGTATTTTCTCCTTGGAGAGCTTTTACATTGTCGCTTTTAGTCAGGGATTCCTAGTATGGTTATTCTCTTGAAGTTATGTGCAGGAAGTTCGTTCCTGATTGGCTGTCTGTTTGTTTGGATAACATGGATGTATAAGGAATGCTTGGGATTTTGCAATCATTTTGTATCCTGGACTTGTTGATTTGGCTTATCACTAAGGAGATTTTGGGCTGAGAAGATGGGGTTTATACAATATAAAAATGGATCATCTGCAAACAGGGGCAATTTTGACTTCTTCTTTTCCTAATTGAATATCCTTTATTTCTTCTCTTACCTGATTGCCCTAGCACAGAACTTCCAGCACATGTTGAATAGGAGTTGTGAGGAGGAGGGCATCCCTGTCTTGTGCCAGTTTTCAAAGGGAAATGCTCCAGTTTTTGGCCCATTAGTATGATTGGCTGTGGAATTTTGGCATAGTAGTTTATTATTTTGAGATATGTTTTCTCAATACCAAATTTTATTGAGGAGTTTAGCATGAAGGGCTGTTGAACTTGTAAAGGCCTTTTCTGCATATGAGATAATCCATGTGGTTTGTGTCTTTGGTTCGTGTTATATTACTGGATTACGGTTTATTGATGTTGATATGTTGGAACAGGGCCTTGGCATCAGGATGAAGGGCACTGTCATGGTGGATAAGCTTTTGATGTTGGCTGTGGATTCAGTTTCCAGTATTTTATGAGGATTTTTGGCTCTATTTCATAGGGGATATTGGTGCTAAAATTTCTTTTTGTTGTATCTTCTTCTCAGGCTTTGGTATCAGGATTGATGTTGGCCTCATAAAGAGATGATTAGGGAGGATCCCTGCTTTTTCTATTGATGGAATATTTCGAAGGTATGGTACAACGCCTCTTGTACTCTGGTTTAGAAATTCGCGTTTGATCCGTTTCTGGTCCTGGACTTTTTTTTGGTTGGGTTTAGGCTATTAATTATTTGCTCAATTTCAGAGGCCATGCTATTGGTCTATTCTAGGGATCAATCTTCTCCTTGGTTTAGTTCTTGGGAGAGTGTAAGTGTCCAGGAAATTATCCATTCTTCTAGTTTCTAGTTTTATTGGTTGTAAGGTGTTTATAGTATTCTCTGATGTTTAGTTGTATTTCTGTGGGTCGGGTGGTGATATCCCTTTATCATTTTGTTTGCGTTATTGATTCTATTCTTTTCTTCTTTATTAGCGTCTTGTAGGCGGTTAGAATTGGTTGATCTTTCAAAAACCAGTCCTGAATATGATTTTTTGGAGGTTTTTGTGGTCCATATCTCTTCAGTTCTGCTCTAGATCTTTATTATTTCTTGCTTCTGCTAGCTTTTTGAATGTGTTGGCTCTTGCGGCTCTAGTCTTTTTAATTGTGATGTTAGAGTGTCATTTTAGATCTTTCCTGCTTTTCTTGGTGGGCATTAGTGCTATAAAATTTCGCCTCGTATCCACACTGTTTACTGCCCGGCCAGATGTGAGAACAATTTCTATGAACAGTATCATTTGCTGTATGGCCATTTACAAAGGCAGTGCAATGCTCTCCTTTGTAATATTGCTATAACAGTAATGGAAATCAAGAATAGGTTTGATAGAAAAGACTTCAAACGGAACCCTTACACACTGTTAGTAGGAATGTAAATTAGTACAGTCATTATAGAGAACATTGTGGAAGTTCCTCAAAAAGTTAAAAATAGAACTACCATATGATCAAGCAATCCCACACCTGGGTATATATCCAAAGGAAATGAAATCAGTGAGATATCTGCATTCTCATATTCATTACAGCCAAGATATAGAATCAACCTAAGGGTCGTAGAGGAATGAAGAAAATGCAGTATATATTCACAATACTAATTCAGCCTTTAAAAAGGCTGAAATCCTGTCATTTGCAATATAGATGAACATTATGTTATGTGAAATAAGTCAAGCACAGAAAGACCAATACCACATGATGTCACTTGTATGTGAAATCTTAAAAAGTTGAATTCACAGAAGTAGAGAATAGAATGGTCATTACCAGGGTATGGGGTAATGGAAGACTGGGGAAATGTTGGTCAAAGAATACAAAATTTCAGTTAGGAGAAATGAGTTTAAGAGATCTGTTATATAGCGTGGTGACTATAGTTAATAACAGTGTATTATTATATTCTTGAAAAATGCTTAAAAAAGATTTCAAATGTTCTCCCCACAGAAAAGATAATTATAGGAGGATATATATATATATATATGCTCAATTTAGCCATCCCACAATGTATAAATATTTCAGAACATCATGTACATGATAAATATGTATTTTGGTCAATTAAAATAATTTTTTTCTGAAAACTAAAGAAACTGGACTTTGGGACTAGACACACTACATGTTTTTCTCCCTCCCAAAGTTAATATTTGTGTGGCTTTAAACAGTCATTTAACTGAAAAGAAAGAAGAAATTCTTTGTAAAATGGAGACAATAAATGGTGGTTATAAGGATGAGTAACAATGCACGTAAGGTACCTGATATGTGGGAGCTATTAAAAACAGTGATGTGTTGATAACATATTAATTCAGGTAAGACAATATGAACTGTAATAGTGTTATGCTTCATATGAATGTCAGCAACATACAAAGAAACCTAATAAACGAGTTCTTATACTTTTGGTCAAAGTACATGTTAGTAGTTTTTAATGAAATATATGAATATGTGTTATTGAATTCTATTATTAGTCTTCTGTATCTTTCAGTGGAAAATCTCTAATGATAAAAATAACTGCTCAAAAATAAAATTATGTAATGTGTATGAATACGTATAATAACCATAATAAAAAGATGTTATTTAAATGCTATTTTACTTGAATTTTAAAGACAGCATTATGTTATGGCTTTTTTATATTATCCTAATTAACATTGATCTCTATGGCATCTTAATCCAAATTAAAATTATATATTATAAAATTAAGTATATGGAAAGGTTTACCAGTGTGCCAATTAAGATGGGTTGATTGATTTCCACTTGGATTCTAATAGCCTGACATTTCTAAAGCAGCTAAGATAAACAGTGAATATAGTTAAGATTGTTTAATTAAATGTTTTGATCTTGCTAAACCTAAACTTCATCATTTAAAATAAGGAACAGAAAAATATCTTATTTTTTTTTTAATTGCAGATATCTTTTCTCTCCTCTTTTAGGATTTTGCCTACCATTTTACAGTATTTGTCTTCTATTTTGGAGCCTTTTTATTGGAAGCAGCAGCCACATCTCTGCATGATTTGCACTGCAATACAACCATGACCCTGCAGCCGCTCCTGAGTGATAACCAGTATAACATAAACGTAGCAGCCACAGTAAGTATTCAATGAGTACCATTCACCAGCACTTCCGCTCTACTGTCAAGGCCTCCAAGAAACTCCTCAGGCAACATTCGTTTTCTTTAATGCTAGCCATTAGCATTAAATATATAATAGCTATTTATCTGTACAATAACCCTGTAAGCAAAGTGCCATGATCACCCCCAGTATTGTGGGTGATTAAACTGTAGCACAAAGAGGTTGATGTTCATGTAAGATCATAGCGAACCAGTAGAACTGCTTGGCTTTGCACAGCAATGTCTACTTTGCAAAAAGAATTGTGTTTTTTGCTTCTGATAACTTTCAGAGATGGTAAAGGAGATCTCCCAGTTTTGTTCTTTAGTATTCGATAGCTGCTTGCAATTTATTTTTATTCAATGAATAGTTACTGTGGGCCTACCATTTATCAAGTAATTTTGCTGGGTGTTGAGGACAGGGTGAGTAAGTTACAGTTCCTGCCACTAAGGAAAGTGCAGGTGAGTAAGGCAAATAGCTAGCCATTGTAGTAGATGATAGGCAGATGAAATGCATTCCTTGGGGTATTTATTAAATTTTTAAAATCATCTAATTCATATACTGGAGTTAATTTGTCATTTTGTATAGATAATTTGAAGAAATAATATATTTTTGTTGTTAGAGATCATTTTTAAGATGTCAGAAGTCCAAATTATTTTCTGAAATATTGTGATATTTAATATAAGTATATGGCAAATTAGTGACCCTAATGTTTTATTATGTTCCCCAGGTAGCCTATAAATAACCCAGTACTCATATAGTCATTGAAATCTGTCTGGAGCAGCACTGTCTAGTAGAACTTTCTACAGTGACAGGAATATTTCATGTAAGTGCTGTCCAAAATGGTGACCACTAGCCTCATGTGGCTGTTGAGCAATTGAAAATTTACTAGGCTGAGGAGCCATAGCTCGTGCCTATAATCCCAGCACATCGGTAGGCCGAGGTGGGAGGACTGCTTGAGGCCAGGAGTTTGAGACCAGCCTGGTCAACATAGCAAAACCCTGTCTCTGAAAAAGGAAAAACAAAAAACAAACCAGAATAAAGAATTGGCCAGGCCTGGTGGCTTGTGCCTGTAGTGCTACCTACCCAGGAGCTCAGGAGCCCAGGAGGTTGCAGTGAGCAGAGACCACACCACTGTACTTCAGTCTGAGTGACAGACCGAGACTCTGTCTGGTGGGGGGAGAGAAAGAGTGAGAAAGATAACTAGTATGACTAAGGAACTGAATTTTTAGGGTTAATTTTAATAAATTTAATCACATGTGCCTAGTGGCTATCATGTTAGACAATACATGTCTAGAGTTTGAGTTTTGAGGGGTAAAAGACAAATGGTTTCAAGACCTATTATAAGTTTCCCAAGTCTCTGGTAGGATTTGTCAAAATTTATTGAGTGCCTGTGAAGAATTAGGCTGAAGGTGGGATTACAACAGAAAGGAGTCATGGTTTTAGCTTTGAAAGGTTTATAGTATAGATTAGTGACTTTAACACTTGCTTATAAAAGAAATAAAAGTTTCATTTAATGAATTCTTACCTAAAACCCCAATAAATCTAGAATAAAAGTTTACTAAAACCCCAATAAATCTAGAATAAAAGTTTAGGTGCTGTAGTTGAAGTGGAGGAAGAGGGCCTTGAATGATGTTCATTCTCTTTTCATAAAGCTGCCTCTACCCACCATATCATCCCTGAGGATCATAGAATCCTTGTGATCCAAAAATCACATTGGAAAACCCTTGGTTTTAACAGTTTTACAAAGCAAAGTTCAGGAACTTGACTTTTTTCCTCGCTATTAGTCATCAGTTCCCATTGTATTTGCCTTTATATGTTTCTTACTTCTAGTCCCTTCTTTTTAATGGTACAGGCTAGATTCTCTTATCTTGGATCATTAAAGTATCCCCACATCTATTGATAGTCACCTTAGAACCTACTTTCACAAGAATAGTAGCTGCTGAAATACTTGGTTGTCTGAGGTCCTTCATTTCTCACCTTTGTCCTAAGGGCCTAGTTTTCCGTGTTCTCCATCATGTAATTCTTTTCTGGCTGCTTCTCTTTTGTGACTTTGTCCCTGTTGTCCTTCCCTTTCTAAGTGAAGCTGTCTCAGTAAACCTCTACATGCTTCGAGTTCAGCATTACATCCCGTTTCATCCATGTGCTCACTCCAAAGTAAATCTCTAGTTTGAGTTTTATTCTAACTAAAATGTATCAGCCATCCATTTGGGACATTAGATAGGAAAATTCCTTTTCCATAATAATAGATATCAAGCGCTATTGCTCTCATTCAGAAAACAATGTCTAGATTAGAAATGTACCAGAGAAACAATCAGCAGAAGGGTGGAAAGAAGAGCAGAATAGTAATTAAACTGTGAAAATGGTCTATAGGTGAATCTAGTATTCCTTCCCAGAGCTAGCTTCCTAGTTAAGAATCCCTGTGCTAAACCATAACATTTATCATGTTGAACTGCTTTTTCTTTGTCTTTTAGTCTTCTATGGGTCATAAGCCCCAAAAGGGTGAGGATGCTATCTACTGTTTGTATGTACGAAGTGCAGTGATATACACACAGTTGGTGCTAAAGAGATTCTCGGGACAGTAATTCACAGTAGAGTGTAGATTTGTGTATAGGACTGTCTCCTATATAAGAGCAAGCCAACCTGACAATTCATTTCCACTTGTCTGAGTTGAGTTTTAAAGTTACCTTCCATCATCACAGAAATTATTTGATGAATCCCCAGGTTCTGATAGTTGCTGGCTTCCTTGGCTGTGAAGCCACTACATGAATAGAACTTCATGCTGAATTTTTAAATACAGTGCCTGGGATTCACAAATACTTAATAAGTGAGCCCAGAATGTGAACAAATTGAACAAATGTTCAATGTAAAGTCATCCACAAATGAGAAAGAAAATTATTAGGGGCTAACAAATGAGAAAGAAAATTATTAGGGGCTAAAATGTTTAAAGGAAGTGGGGGGTAATTGTATGAGGGAATAAATAAGTTGTACAAATCATCAAATAAATCAATGTAAAATATTTTTGTAAGTGTTGAAGTGTTTTTAGGTAGATTGGTCAATCTTCATATGTTTGTTCTTGAGGACACTGCTTTTAAGTCGGTGTTGTAAATCTGATGTGAATTTTTGTTTCTTTTTTCTTAGATTTTTGCCTTTATGACGACAGCTTGTTATGGTTGCAGTTTGGGTCTGGCTTTACGAAGATGGCGACCGTAACACTCCTTAGAAACTGGCAGTCGTGTGTTAGTTTCATTTGTCTACTTTATATGTCTGATCAATTTGGATACCATTTTGTATCAATTTGGATACCATTTTGTCCAGATGCAAAAACATTCCAAAAGTAATTTGTTTAGTAGAGAGAGAGACTATCAAAGCTCAAATTTTGGTTTATTTCATGGATGGAATGTTAATTTTATTATGATATTAAAGAAATGGCCTTTTATTTTACATCTCTCCCCTCCTTCCCTTCCTGAAAGTTTCCTTTTATGTCCATAAAATACAAATATATTATTCATAAAAAATTAGTATCCCTTTTGTTTGGTTGCTGAGTCACCTGAACCTTAATTTTAATTGGTAACTACAACTCCCTAAAAAAACACATTTCAAATAGGCTTCGCACTGAACTGTATAATTTAGTGTAAACCAGGAATTGGCACACTTTTTAAAAAATGGGCCAGAAGGTAAATATTTATGCTTCATGGGCCATACAGTCTCTGTCACAACTATAGCATGAAAGCAGCTGTACACAATACAGAAATGAATGAGTGTGGTTATGTTCTAATAAAACTTTATAAAAACAAGGGGAGGCTGGGTTTAACCTGTGGGCCATAGTTTGTCAACCACTGGTGTAAAACCTTAGTTTTATATGTTCTGCGTTTTCTTGAACTGATCATGAAAACCTATAAACCTAATAGACAAGCCACATAATATTTAGCTTCATTATGCAATAATCACATTGCCTTTGTGTTAATAGTCACATACTTACCTTTGGAGGAATGTATGGTTTCTCAGACTATCTCAGGCAGAGTCCTGGATGTAGGCAAAAGTAATTTATGAAGTAAACTTTAGTCGCTTAGTCAAACTAATGATAGTCTAACAACTGAGCAAGATCCTCATCTGAGAGTGCTTAAAATGGGATCCCCAGAGACCATTAACCACTACTGGAACTGGTATCTAGCTACTTATGTCTTACTTTGAGTTTATGCTTCAGTATAGAGTTGTTTGCCCTGTGCATGAACATACCCATATTTGTGTGTGGATATGTGAAGCTTTTCCAAATAGAGCTCTCAGAAGAATTAAGTTTTTACTTCTAATTATTTTACATTACTTTGAGTTAAATTTGAATAAAGTTGTAGATTCTTGTTTTTGCATTAGCCCAGACATCTATATTGTTTTTGCACTGGTGACAGACAAAATCAGTTTTAAAATCATAGCCAGCACAAAAACTATTTCTGGCTAAATAGCACAGAAAAGTATTTTAACCTACCTGTAGAGATCCTGGTCATGGAAAGGTGCCAAAATGTTTTGAATGGAAGAACAAGTTAGAGTGAGGCCACAGTTTCTACCACACTAGGGCTTTTGTATTGCTCTACTCTTTCAGCCCTTTACTTTCTGGCTGAAGCATCCCCTTGGAGTGCCATGTATAAGTTGGGCTATTAGAGTTCATGGAACGTAGAACAACCGTGAATGAGTGGCATGATCAGTGCTTAATGATCAAGTATTACCTATCTAATAATCCTCTAGAAAGAACCCTGTTAGATCTTGGTTTGTGATAAAAATATCAAGACAGAAGACATGAGGAAATCAGGCATATGACTTTGTACTTACATCAGATATTTTCTGTAATATCCTACTTCCTTGGTTTTCCCAGCTCCATACCACACACCTAAACCTGTGTTATGAATTACATATTACAAAGTCATAAATGTGCCATATGGATATATAGTCTATTCTAGTTGGAATCGTTTAGTCTGCTAGAATTTAGTTGTGAGACTTTTTTGTTTCCCAGTATAGCAGTCTTCTGTTTGGTGGCATTAAATTGATTTCTTTAAAATGCTTTGGTGGCATTTTTGTAAATGGATTGCTTCTAGATTGTTACAAACCAAGCCTAAGACACATCTGTGAATACTTAGATTTGTAGATTAATTGCATTCTAGATTTGTGAGTTGAATGACAAAGGAGTTGAACAAAAATTATGGCGTTTAAGAATTTAACATATCTTAGCTGTAAAAATGAGAAAGTGTTGGTTGGTTTTAAAATCTGGTAACTCCTTGATGAAAAGAAATTTATTTTATACGTGTTATGTCTCTAATAAAGTATTCATTTGATAATCTTTGTGGTCATCTATTACACCATTCACTTTGAAATTCAGTTAAAGGTTTGATACAAACTTGACAGAGCTTCTAGACTTATAATGTATAAAAAGTTGTGTTTTAAACATTTCTGTGTAAAAGTCTCTCAGGAATTGTCTTTTTTCTTTGATGAAGGTGAAAGAGGTAAGTCTTTGGAAGTAACGTTGCATAGGAAGTTTAAATGAGAATTCTCTTTTGCCGAGTGTGATGACTTATGTCTATATTCCCAAAACTTTGGGAAGCCGAGGTCGGAGGATCCCTTGACACTAGGAATTCAGGACCAACCTGGGCAATATACTGAGACTTCATCTCTACAAAAAAATTAAAAAATTAGCTGGGTGCATGGTGGCACATGCCTCTCGTCCCAGCTACTTGGGAAACTGAGGTGGGAGGATGGCTTTAGCCCAGGAGGTTGAGGCTCCAGCCTGGGTAACAGAGACCCTGTCTCACAAATAAATTAATTAATTAATTAATTAATTAATTAATAAAATAAAATAAAGTAAAATAAACTATCCATGCCTGTCTCACAAATAAATAAATAAATAAATAAATAAATAAAATAAAATAAAATAAAGTAAAATAAACTATCCATGCTAAAAAGAGAGAATTCTGTTTTACTTAAAAAGCATTTGTACCATGTTTTATATGTTTCAAGCATTTTGTCAAATGTTACTTCATTTATTCCTCATCATAACAACCCTTTGGGGTGTATACTCATCCCATTTTAAAGGCTTGGAGACTAAAACACAAGTTTTACATCCATATCCAAAAATGTGATCTTTTCTTCACCCAAAGAAGTTTTAGCAGAATGTTCAACAACATAACTATTTATGGTAAATGTCACATCTTATATCATTTTTGTCATAACAAAGGACTCATGATTTTAGCTGTAAGAATTTAAGCCAAACTTGCATGAGGGAGAAGAGGTTAGGCCACTTGCATCTAGAACGGTCCCTGAGTGCTTGACTACCTGAGTGTTTTTCCACTTTGTCAATTCTGGCATGAACTATGGGGGCTTCGGTCTGCTGTATTACCTTACATTGACTCAGCCTTTTCCCAAATTATCCAGGCTTCCAGGGATGCCTGGAACTGACTTCAGAAGGATTTTCCAGTCTGAGAGATGCCATTTGATCTTGAGCATGGACTATGAATTTCCACCTCTGAATACTCCAGAATCTGGAATTCTGGATCATTATCATGAAGGTTCTATCATTAACAACATGCCTCAAGTTTAATTGATGAATCAGTGTCTTAGGTGGCAGCTTATTCATCAGGCAGGGGTCCAGAGTTTGGGGACAGCAATGATGCTTAACCCATTTATGCCTAGTGTTCTATTACTGGAACACTAAGCTTGTGGAAGTTACTTATATCCTACTGCTCAAGGTCATTGCCAAGGTCTGATTTTTCACAAAAAACATTTGCAACCTCCGGCATAAATTAGTTATGTTTAGTGTTTTGAATGTCCAACTTTGTGATAAAAAAGGATGTTAGTTACAGCTTTATTGGGCTGTGCCCCTAGCAAAAGGACAATCCTAGTTCCTCTCTCTGGAGCACTCTTTTCCCAAGTTACTACTGAGCTGGCTTTCTCACCCTCTTTGGGTCTTTGCTTAGTCATCACCTTTACAGTGAGGTCCTACCTCAGAACCACATTTAATCTTGAATCTCACAAGAGCACTCCCTGTTCTCCTTTTCTACATTTATATTTTGTATAGTGTATATGCATATAGCATTAATTTATATTTGTCTTCTTTTCTACATTTTTGGATAGTGCATATACACTATACAAAATATCTTCCTTCAGTGTCCAAGCCAATGAGCTGAGGCCATTCGTTCTGGGCAGTCCACAGGCAATGACTGCACATGGTGTTGGTATAAGGGCTCATCGTTTCTAGCTACTGTGAGACTTCTCTTGGGCAATCTTTGTGCCGGAGCTCACTGCTAAATTGGTTGAGACTTTCTCAGAATGAGCACAGTCTGAGGCTCTTCCTACCTAAGGCTTTTAGGCTCTCACTTCTCCTTTCATAAGAGTCAAACCTGCATCAGGGGCAGAAAGATATATTTTGTATAGTGTATACTATATTTTGTATAGTGTATATGCATATAGCATTAATTTATATTTGTTGTCTTCTTCACTAGAATGTAAGGTTTGTGTTTTGTTAATTTTAGACAGCAGGTTTTAATAGTTGTCTCCATTTTTGAGCATACATACTTTATACATGTGGAATATCTGAACTGGTGTCCACCTATTTTAAGTATTTGGTTGGTTCAAAAGTAATTGTGGTTTTTGCTGTTGAATGTAATGGCAAAAGCTGCAATTCCTTTTGCACCAACCTATTAGTAAAAGTTTAATTTTGTGCTCATAAAATAGAGTTAAAATATTTCCTTTGTCACTCTGTAATTATCTTGCATATTTAAGTGCACATACTCCATTTTAGAGACAATATGAATAGAATATTGGCTTGGAGGGCATAAAACTGGACTGTCTCCTTTGCTGTTTGATGGAAGTATCTATGTTAGACACTAAGATGAAGTGTCTAACAGAGGCTGGCAGCCATTAGCATTGAAATTGGTTTCTCAGTAAGATGATAGGTATTCCATGTCTTCAGAATGACTACGTTGACTAAATCTCAAAGATTTACTCTTGGCCAAATATGGTTTCATAGAACAAATAAATTCTCAACAAAAAAATATGATATTATGTACTTTTCCAATGTGGGATAACTAAGTTAGCCAGACTTAGTCTTGTTTTTTATTTTAAATTTAATAGTTATACTTTCAATGTGAATTAGGGAATTATAACTTGCACATCAATTGCATGATTTCATGGATATTATTCAGTATGAGAAAAAATATTGTGAAAAAATAGTCCATTTAACATTTGTGGGACCTGAGGTGAGCCACTTAATTTATTCAAGCCTAAGTTATCTACCAGCGATGATGATGCAAGTCTGGGAGAGGAAGTCCTTTGGAAAGAAGAAGCCAAGATGCAGTTCAAAGTACAAGATGTTTGTTGGAGAAAATGCCTATAAAAGATAAAGAGGAGAGAGAGCACAAGTAGGAAAAATAATCTTTCTGCCCCTGATGCAGGTTTGACTCTTATGAAAGGAGAAGTGAGAGCCTAAAAGCCTTAGGTAGGAAGAGCCTCAGACTGTGCTCATTCTGAGAAAGTCTCAACCAATTTAGCAGTGAGCTCCGGCACAAAGATTGCCCATAGAGGAGTCTCACACTAGCTAGAAACGATGAGCCCTTATACCAACACCATGTGCAGTCATTGCCTGTGGACTGCCCAGAACGAATGGCCTCAGCTCATTGGCTTGGACACTGAAGGAAGATCCTGAGGGCATCTGCAACTGGTGCTGTCAGATAACTGCACTCCCTGTGGATGGTTATCTTTTGGAGATCTAAATAGCACACTTCATAACTGCCACTTTTCACCCCTTGTACCAAATCAATCCACTTCTCCATGCATATCCTGGGAGCCACTCCTCTCTGGGCCTCTCATCCTGAGGGGAAGACTTTTAGAAAAGGAAGGTTAGTGGGTCAAACTCAGCCACATCACTGCGGCTGGTCTTGGGGCCACAACTGGTATTTATCTCTCTCTCCAACCATCCATTCTGAATTCTCGTAGCAGCTATCACCTACCTTTGCAGGTCTGGGTGAGTTATCTGGTGGTGTGACCCACACCCTCATTCTTGAAGGGTCTGAATCCAAGACAACAATAACTGTTTCAGGAGGGGGGTCACTGTACTTGTCCATCCACAGTCATAATTGGGTAAGGAATTACCACAAAGGTACCCATGTGGATCACCTGAGTTTCATACATATTCATCCCTATTTCTATTGTGGAATAACAGCCCTACATACCTTTTTATCAGGATCAATCACCCCTGCAAAGAGGGCAACTCCTTCCTGCTCGCTTGGTGCTTAAAGACTCCAAAATGACTCAACAGCAGCCACAGCTTGTAGTTCAATAAAATCCTTGCTGTCCTAGAAAAGAATAAGCAGATCAGAATGGTAACCAAGCAGAACCCCAAATTGTAAGGATGGGAAGCACAAAGTCCATAATGAGTCATTGGGAGTGATGGTAAATGAGGCCACTCCTGTTTTCATCTCTTTTCCTGGGCCGATTAGTTTTTCCTTTTGGGAACACAATACTCTATAGAAGTCTCAAATTCAATGTGCATGTGGCATTCAGGAAAAATGGCACCCCACTGTCATGGGTATTGCCTCTGTGCTGGTGCTTCAAATGTGCTTTCAGCAGGCTATTCCAACACTATCAGGCTGGTTGATCCTGGATCATGCATTATGTGATGTGGTCAATGACCGCAGTCATGGGGCTATCTCCCTGGTTAGATGCTAAGTTGAGTGTGATTTCATGCTTCTGGAGCAAGCACTCCATAAGCCCACTGCACATGACTGTATATATTCTCACCTCAGAGCACTTTTATTCCACAAAAGTTTCATCAAACTCAGAAAACATAGGGGTAAATCCCAGTGACCTTGGATTTGACCATGGATTCTCAGGTATGACACTAAAAGCATAAGCAATCAAAGAAAAAACAGATAAATTGATCTTCATCAAAATTTTAAACTATTTTTACATCGAAGGATACTGCAAAGAAAGTAAAAACTTACACAATGGGAAAAATTTGCAAATACGTCTGATAAGGGTCCAGTATCCAGAATACATAAAGAATTCTTACAACAAAAAGCAATTCAATTTAAAAATTGGCAAAACACTTGAATGGACATTTCTCCAAAAAAGATATACAAACAGTTAAAAAGCACATGAATAGATGCTCAGCAACATTAGCTATCAGGAAAACGCAAATTAAAACAATAATTACCACTTCACCACCCACTAAGATGGTTAGCTATAACTTTTTGAAGAAAAGAAGTCGGAAGCCTTGTACATTGCTCATAAGAATGTAAGATGGTGCAGCTGCTGTGGAAAATAATTTGACAGTTCCTCCAAATAT